ATAAATAATTTTATTGTGTTATATGTAAAAAAACTCATGAAAAAATTTCAATTCAATATTTGGTCGATACTAGAATTGGCAAAATTTGTGATTTTTTTTTAAAAAATCGCGATTCAAACCAAATATTAATATTTCAATTTGAGAAGTTACCGATTTGATTGAGAAGTCATATATCATAATTTTTTTATCTTAGTATAATATTTCTTTGTAAGTAAAAAGTTAATGCTTAGGAGATCCGTTCTGAAATTATTAAAAAAATATGTCAAATGAAAAACCGACTGTCAATCAAATATCGGATATGTGCAAACTGTTAAAAAAAATTTAAATAGTCGATATTAAAGAGTCGGAAAGAAAATCATTCATTTTCTAAAATGAATACTATTATGAATATCCTCATATATAACTGTAAAGCAAATTTAAAATTTTATTTTTTTTTTACTAATAAAATAATTGTAGTTTTATTATTTTTAATTTTAGCTACTATTAATTCTTAATTGGGTGTACTGAATTATTAGCCAAATATAAAATATTCGTTTTTACCCTTCATTTAAAATAATCTTGATTAATAGTTTTGTGGCAATTCTTTAGTATGACCCTAAAATTATATTCTTAAAACTCCTTCTCTCCTTCCTTTTTCTGGAAGAGGTTAGTTCTTAAATTATATAATGATAAATATAGTTAGTGCTGTAAGGTAACGTGAAAAAAAGTAATGGTCACTAACTTCGTTACTTTTTTGAAGAAAAGGAACGCCATTCGTTACCTTCTTCTAGAGGTAACGAGTAAAGGTAACGTGTTTTTTCTTTTGAGTAACGGTAACGCAAAATGTTACTTTAAATTTTTTCTTAAAAAATATTTTAAAAAAGAAAAGCATAATACATTGTACTTTAAAATTACTTTTATTTATTTTTTAATATAAGTAATTTAAGCCGAGTTTTTAATTCATATCCACAATTCCCATATTTTTATTTTAAATTCTCGTTGATAAATTTTCAGGCTAATGTTAATCTAATTATATTCAATTAAAATTCAAAGTAAATGTTAAAAATATTATTTTTATAATTTATTTTAAGAATATTATGTCCATAATTACTTCTTCGGATGATTTAACCCTTCCCTGGCCTCAATTTGAAACATATTTTACACCATAAAGAAAATTACGGGTACAAAGTCTACACTTTGTAAATGTAAATTATATTCTCAATACCCAAGTTCAAACTTTAAAAAGCATATGAAGGTAAAAAGATGAATTAATATATTATTTCAAACATTAATATAATATATAATCATGGGTATTATAAAATAACCATTAAAAGAAGTATTCTTTCATAATATTTTAAAAACTTAATTATTAAATTAAAATATGCTATAGTATAGGGCTGGGAACCAACATTGAAAAAGCTAAATTATTTTTAATAAAAAATTCAGGTATTAATAATATTTTAATTAAAAAATTATATACTGTACATTCCTCAAATGAAAGAAATTAATGAACATTTGAATAGTAATTGTAAAAAATTGAAACCAATCAAGTCACACTCATTGAGATGCAGAATACATCTACATCAAAGATAAAAATAGTATAATCAGCTGTTGATGAATTAGTTTTTAATTTTGTAATTGAAGAATTACAAACATTTTCAATTGTAGAAAGCACTGCATTTATTAATATTATCAAAAAATTGCAGCCAACAAAGAATGTGATATCTAAAAAAATTAACAAATATGACACCATGGCAAAGAAATAGTGGATTTAGTGTGTATCCCAAAAATTGTTTGTACAACTGTGGATTCTTGGTCAGCTTATTATCGGTATATAAAATATATATTTTTTAGATTCATAATATTGTCTCTTAAAAAAGTTCCTATTTATGGATGACGGTTGAGTGGCTATACCCAGACACTCTTGAGAGGCTTTCAGGTTGCTTAGCTTGAAGGCTAAACCAAAAACACACATTTGTTTATCTAGCAAAAATAATCTTTGAAATTTTTACCACATATAAGATAAAAAATAACGTGACTAAGTGCATAACCGATAATACTAGAAATTATGCTTTCAAGTAAAAAAATAAAATATATTTACTAAAAATTTATTAGAGTATATGAACAAGGAAAGGATTCGGATGATGAAATAGTTCATCTAACATTAATATATTTGAAAATCAAAATACTAATGATAGTATTGTATACTTTAAGCATCATTCCTGTTCAGCACACACTTTAAATCTCACTACAAATTTTGACATTGAAAAGGCAGGTAACGATGTCCATTTCAAAAATTATATTTTCTAAGTATAAGCTATTGTGGAATAAACATGGGCAATCTTCATACTATGCAGCCATTTTCAAGAAAAACATAAGAAGATATCTGATTGGTTATAACAAGATGAAACTCTTTTTATAACTCCGTGAAATTAATAGTCTTATTAAGAAGAATTGCCAAAAATTTGACGAATCTTGTGATAAATCTGAATTACAGAGATTTTTAGATAACGACAAGTCGTTCATAAATGAATATTGTATGGTAAGTGTTAATTAAGAAATGCATATATATGATTTTATAGGTTATAGAACCGATTGCTACGGCTTTTCAATTTTGGAGGACGAAGACAAATTGCATTAGGAATATCTCACTCATATAAAACTTAAAAAAATGGTTTTAAATAATTTCAAGTTTTATAAGCCACTTATCAATTCAATCCTGGAAGGCATAGATAAAGGTATAAAGTTCAAATATTGCTTACAATTTATATTTTGTTTATCTTTTATTTTCAATAGATTCAAACATATCTATAGAAATGAATATATACTAATCCACAATAATTCACCAGCTATTTAAATTGGATGGCTCTGAATAAAATTAGAAGTCAACAAAGGAAGAATGCTAGAACTTATTTCCAGTTTGAAAAAAGATCTTGTTAAAGAGCAGAATTAATTCCTTTATCCAACACATATACCAGAATATTTTCTGATAAAGATAAAAAAAAATTTTGATGAGAAAATTAATGAAGTCCTTGTGAAGATGATCTATTAAAAAATTTTCAAAATAAAAGATAATTCATTAAATATTTTTAAAAATTCCCCGAATTTATTTAATATAATACAACTCTCCCATTTTCTGCCCCAATTGAAGGTGTGTTTAGCATGACAAAAACTGTGTTGAACACTAATTGCTCTTGTTTGTCTATGAAAATTTTGAAAATTAATTTTTGCTAAAATAAATAAAAAATTGTTACAAAAAGTATCTTATATAAAATATATTATTTTAGTATAATTTTATTTATATTATAATTATATATATGAAATTTTTTTTATAAAAAGATCTTATATTATTATATATTCTTTTTGTGTAATTTTATTTATATTATATATTGTAGGAAACAAATTAATTTTTTTTTGTTATATAATGTTTAATTTTTTTGAATAGTCAGTAACACACGTTTTTTTAAAAAAAGGTAACGAGTAATGGTAATGCGTTCCTTTATTCAGACGTAACGAGTAATGGTAATGCGTTTCTTTTTTGTAGTAACGTTTACAGCACTAAATATGGTTTACTAAACCTATTTTCTGAAGATAAATTAATTGTTTATAACTAAATGTTACACACAAATATTTTTAAAATGTTTGGTTATTTGATAAAATTTAAAAATGTTTGGTTATTTGATAAAATTTAAAAAAAGATTAAATCTAAATTCGATTAATTTATTATTTAATAATTATTGTAAGGTTGTATTTATATTCCATATCCTGAAAATCAACATTATAATACTTTCATTAACATATTTTTTATCCTACTAACCTCAAATTTCAAACAATAAAACTGAAGTGGCTAATTTTATACTATACCATTCTCCTATCAATCAATCATGGTAAAATAACAAGTTATATCTGACTTGTTTAATAAAATTATGTTTTCAGATGAAATAAAAAAAATGAATGATGGTTAGCAGGGCCATATAATTCATAGTAAAACAATCAACAGCTTCAACAGAGTATTTTCATCATATGGGAATGTATTCCAAAGTTCTGAATCAGTTCAGAAAACAAGTTTACTTTTAACAATTAAATTCAAATACCAATGTCAAGTACATGAAAATCTGCAATGCACTTTAAAGGTTAGGCATAAAAAATCGATTTTTTAATTTTAACATCTAGATTTCGGAAGATATCATGATAATTCTCTTATAAAATTTTAAAAAACAAGTAGAATGTTATTATTGTATTAATCTAATTATAATGATAAAATTATTTTAATGGTAAATACTATATAATAAAATACATTTTTAAAAACTGATGTTTCTGTTAAGTTTACTAACTTTTAATGGACTACAAACCGTGAACCCGAACCAGGTTCAGAGATATTTCACTGAACCAGAACCATTTTTTTTAGGAGTATTCACAGCCTTGAATTAAATAAACTATTATTTTTTATAAAATATTAAATAATTTCTCACTACAATGAAATTAGAATTATACAATTAACAATTAATTATGTTAAAATTTGAGCAGTGAAATAAAAAATGAATCAAGTATTTTTTTTATCTAATATGTAAAGATTATTAGTAAAATTTAGTATTTTTCATATAAAAATTATGCAATTCTAAAATAATCTTAGTCTTTGCCTTTCCTTATATTAAGTATTTTAATCAAATTTAGTGAATAGAATTTTATTTAAAATATTGATTTAAATCACTGATTTTTCCAAAAATTGGGGTAATTTATATCGTGATTTAAATCAAATTAATTTTTAATTGCCAACTCTAGTTGATACTAATATTTATTCAGATAAATTATAAATATCAATCCTGTTTATATTTAAATATAATTAAATTAATAAAACATCATTAACATTAAAATTTAATCTTTTAATTGAGAAAAAATTGAATATATCTCAGGAAAATTATCTTTCTCTAGGGTATAATTTTAAAAAATAATTTTTTATTTTATTAAATATTTGATTTAAGTAAAAAATCAAGATTTTTGTCAACCCTAATATAAATTACTCATCATTTCTCCATAAAGCTAAAGCATGTCCTGTAAAATCTGCAGTATTTTTATCAAGGCCAAATTTTTCATATAATTTGTCCATGGTTGTATTTTGAGTTATGTCTTGCCATGTCTTTTGATTATCTTCACTAAATTCTTGTACAAATGTAAGAAATTTTTTAAATCGCCTCTTTTCAAACATTCCCATAAGACCTATATTTATATTGCCATTTATATTTAACATTTAATCTAAATGTGATTTTATAAAAATGCACTAATTAATATTGTTCTATGGCTCAATTTTTAAAAATAGCTAGCCCAATATTTTGCCAAAAATATTATACAAGCCTAGAAATTTTATTCATAGATAGCAGAAAGGTTTGGATATCTAAAAACAAAATCTTGAGACTTGCATAATATTATTTTAGCTAAACCCTTAATTTAAGATGAGCTAAATTGATCCATTTAACAACACTAGTACCCACCAATATTAATACCACATTTTTTTAGAAATTAAATATAAAAAAATTTATATAATATAAAATTGTTATTATATAATAAATTTTAAAGATTCACACTTGGATCTTTATTAACCTTGAGACAGAGCAATGCTTAAATAATTTGAATTTTATTTTCAATATATTTAAAATTTAACAATATTGGATCAATTCATATTTGCATTGGTGCACCTCTGATTTTATGTCAATATTTTATAGTAATTAAGATAATTCATAAATATTTTCATTTATATAACCTGAAGAAAGAGCTTCTGTTTCTGTGGCAGGTACTTTATACACTTTTTGATCTTTACAAACATAATTTCCATCCACTGATTTAAATTCCAAGTATTTTGTGACACCAGTGTGTATTAAGAGTTTCACCAGTAAACCTACGATAAAAAAATTTGAAATGTTACATTATTATATTAAAAGCAAACCATTGGCCATTAAGAACTTTGGGATTAAATCAACATTCCAATCTCTTCCTCTGCCCATTTTTTCTGATAGTATATCATTCCTACCAAAGTGTTCATATAACTATTTTTTTTAATAAAATATATAATAAATAAAAGAATTTACATATTCTAAAGGAGTAATAGATGCACTTTCACCTCCGTAATATTTGTTACGATCCAAATGTAAAACTTTTTTGCCTGCGACTGATAATAGACCACTTAATATGCATTCCTATAAGTAATTAGATTTGATAAGGATAATAAATAAATAATACTGTCAATCCTGTTCCCAATACGATAACATCGTAAAATTCATCCATAATAATTATTTTATCGATTACTTTAATAAAAAGGAATTAATTTAATATAATTTAAAGTGACGGACATTTATTTTGAGACGTTAATATACCTCAAAGCCAAAAGAGTTTATTGAAAAAGATAGTTTCTAAATTATAATTAAAATGATACGACGTTTTATCTAATAAATAGAAAGAGGAGATTTTAATAATATGGTGATTTCTATTTGTTGTGTTTTAAAAAAGAAATTAAAAATATGTTTTTTTAAATATGAATAATTGTTTGTATAAAATTAATTCTTTATAATGATTGAATTAATTAATTATTTAAAAATGTATATAATATACAACTGAATTAAAATTTTCCGATGTCCACACTATAGCATGTTATCGTGACATCATGTCCTCACTATATAGTGGTTTCACTAAGCAATGTCATCGTGAATATTATTTTTAAATCTAAACATTCCAAAAAAAAAATTTATACAGCGCTGAGGTTATTTTGGTATGGTACTCTAAACCAACATGAATCACAGCAACCTAATGAAACATTTTAAAATACACAATGCCAAAATCGCATATCAATTTATCTTTACATTACTTTTCATCAAAAAGTTAAATTTTTCTTGATTCATTTAAATATAAGTAAAAACTTTTTATGGTTGATCTAATTATGAATTAACAAAAGTTTTAAAAATATTCATAAAGCAAGAAAGTGAGTTTTACGCCTGATATTCTGCGCTGTTGATATTTAGATATGGTTGAGAAATTATATGAATCACAAGATGTCCTAATGAAACTAAAATACACAATACCAAGAACACACGTCAATTTATCTTTACATTACTTTTCCTCAAAAAGGTAAATTTTTCTTAAATTATTTGAAAAATATAAAATAAAAATATTTATATGATATTTTGAAAACTGCTAGAATCAACAAAAATACGTTAAATACCGATTAACACTAACCTTTAAATTGTTTTTTTTTATGTTTATATAAATTGATTTTTTTTTATATAAATTGTGTAGATTGATTTTTTTTTATGTATTAATATGAAAATTGTTATAATAGCCTGATTTTTAGTTTGATAAAGAAAATGTAAAATTTTAAAATATATATATAAAATTAAATTATTAATTTAAAATAAAATAAATAATCTCGTAACAATCATTTATTTTAGAAAACTTTATGGTGGCAAATCTTAAATAAATATGAAACAGACTCTCAATAATAATGTTAATATAAATATTGAATTTCCAATATACTCAGGAAATGGTGATCTTTTTTGAGTAGATTCGAAGACATCTTCAAGGACACTCAGTTCTCGGACATCGAAAAAGCAGGTTCCTTTACAAGTAGACTACCAGATGAGGTATATATCAAACTTAAATCGATATGTTCACCTATCGACTTCATCAATCCATCGATATTGATTAGGTTATTACACCCGAGGAAATCTACAAGTTCCAACTTATTATTATTTAACGCAGCTGTACAAGGTAAAACGAAAGTTACATCAAATGGGTAAATAGATTATGCATTTTAAAAAATGAATGTTTGCTAAGTGATAGTAGAGTTTATTACAACAACGTCAGAGCAAACTATCCAGGATCGTACAATAATTCTTCGAGATTGGATAATAGAGCTAGTTATAATAACAATAACTATAATAATAATAGATTTAATAATGATTATAATTACAGATATAACAAACATTATAACGATTCAAGATTTATTCAAAGATATAACGATAATCATAATAATGGAAATCAAGGAAGAAATCAAGTATGCAATTGTAAATATCATAACAACGACAATAATCAATCACTATATACAAATAAAGTAAACACTGTATATATAGAAGAGATAAAAGAAGATGATAATAACAAACTAGGAAGAAAAGAATATAATTTATACAATTTAGACATAAACAATATGGATACTGATAATAATTACACAGCGAACGATACTTATAAGGTCACGGTATATTTGAACGACATGCCTATTTTGATGCAGATTGATACCGGCTCGAGGTATAGTATTCTACCGATTCATATCGCGAAAAAGATTGGAGTAAAAATCTTAAATAAATCAGATATTAAATTAACTGGATATGATGGAAACACAATAAATGTATTAGGAACTACCAAAGTCAAGGCAAAATTCGAGGACAAAAGTCAAATCTTAACTGCTTATGTAGTCCAGAGTGATAAGATTGCACTGTTAGGAAGGACCTGGATAACTGTTTTTGGGAATATACTAGATAAATTTGTGAATATGGTCGAGGATGATTATGATAATACCATACAAGAATTAATCAAACAATGCAATTTTAAACTTAACCAAAAACCAATGCTACGCAGCTATGTCAAATTACTTTTAAAACACGATGCCACACCGAAAATCATACCGCCAAGGCGTATACCATATTCTAGACTTGATTTGATAACAAAAGAACTTCAAAAGTGGATAAACGATAAAATTATTGAACCTGTTGAAGATGTTAGATGGGCTAGTCCTCTCACTCCCGTTTATAAGAGCGATGACTCACTTAGGCTCTGTGCTAACTTCAAAAATACTATCAACCCTGCTTTACAAGATTTCAAGTACCCTATACAGTGGCGTAGCTACGGCGGTGGTTTTCGGGTTTGGACCCCTCCCAGAGCAAATATTTTTTTTAGATTATACGTTCAAAAGACTTAAAAGTTACTTTATATCAAATAAATACCATGAATATTTATATTTTTGATGTTCGTGGAATGATAATTTGAGATAATCTACGAAATTATAATAATATATTATTGATGCATTAACTAAATTTATTATATAATATCGAAGATATTGTTATGATTTTTAAGATAAACCCGGTCGAAGGCCGGGCTAAAGAGCCGAAGGCCCGTTAAAGGGGTCTGGGGGGCGAAGCCCCCCAGTCTTATATATGTATGGACCCCCTCTAAGGAAAATTCCTAGCTACGCCACTGACCCTATACCACGTATAAATTGTTTAATCGAAAAATTATCTAAAGGCAAAAAATTTACCAAGATAGATTTTAAAAACGCGTTTCTCTAAATACCCATACACAAGGAATCAAAAGATTTTCTTACGATATCGACACATAAGGGTTATTATAGGTTTACGAGACTGCCGTTTGGTTTAAAAACTTCGTTGGCAATATTCCAACAAACTATGGATAACATTTTCGGAGATTTAAAAGATGTTATATTTTACATTGACGACTTGTTAATTACAGGTGATAACGATGAGATACATTTGGAGAACATTAAAAAAGTATTCGAAAAGATCATCAAGTATGGATTAACCCCCAATTTCAACAAAAGTTTATTCCTGCAAGATAAAATACGCTTTTTGGGACATGATATAGACAAACATGGTATACATCCCAACGATGATAAGATAAAAGCTATTTCTAACATGCCGGAACCGAAGACAAAAGATGAATTGACAACTTTTTTGGGGATGACGAGCTATTATCGAAAATATTTATTTAATTTTGTGGACATAGCTGATTCTTTATACAAAATGGTTAATAAAGACAAATGGTTATGGGATAATACACATCAAGAAAGCTTCGACGACCTAAAAAATCTGATTAGTACTCCGCCTACGTTAAATTTTTATAATCAGGATCTACCAATAGGCATTGCAACTGATGCTTCAAAGAAAGGTCTAGGAGCAGTCTTATTTCATATTGAAGGTGATGGTAAAGAGAAACCCATTGCTTTCGCGTCAAGAGCTTTATTAAAATCAGAGTTTAATTACACTAATATAGAGAGGGAAGCTTTATCTGTTATATACGCTGTAAAAAAGTTTCAAGAATATTTAATTGGCACGAGATTTACAATAATCACAGATCACAAGCCACTCGTTTATATATTAACGAAGGGACTTAAGGATAATTCATCCATATCAATGCGACTTCAGAAATGGAGTTTGGCTATGAGAGCTTATGACTTTACGATAATTCATAGAGCCAGGAAACGAAATGTAGTACCGGATTGTTTGTCAAGATTACTCCAAATGAACACAGAAGAAATGATACAAGAGATAGATGAAAAAAAATTGATGACAAATTTTGGGATTTACCAATAAATTTTAAAAGAATAGTTCAAGAAACTAGTATTGATATCGAACTAATGGAGGTAATTAACAATATAAAGAATCATGAACAGATAAAGAATAAAATATATAAAAATAGGAAATGGAACTGAGCTTAATTAAAGATTGTCTTTTTAAAGAGAATAGAATCAATATACCAAAAAATATGAGAGAGGAGATATTACAGGAATAACACAAAGGGCATCTTGGTGCTGGGAAAACGAAATTGTTGGCCAGAGATTAGTGGTGGCCAGGTCTAAACGCTGAAATAGATCAGGAGGTGAGAAACTGTGATACGTGTAATAAATATGCGGACAATCCTCATAATGTACAAAATCCATGGGAAACAGCTGTAAAAGTGTTCGAACGCGTGCACAACGACTTTGCACAGTTTGAAGGTAGCAATTTCTTGGTATGTGTTGACGCATTTAGCAAATTCCCTATCATTAGAAGAATGAGAGATATAACTACTGAGTCTACAATTAAAGAATTATTAAAAATAATCAGTTTGTTTGGTATACCCGATATGATAGTCAGCGATAATGGTACGAATTTTACAAGTAGCCTGTTCAAAAATTTTTGTAGTGAACATGGAATTGATCACATTTTCATCGCGCCTCACCACCAACAGTCCAATGGTCAGTGTGAGCGAATGATAAGATCAATGAAAATATGCATGAAAAGGAATATGGAAAGTAATAAGAAAATAGACTTAGATATAGCTTTAGAAAAGTTTTTATTTAATTATCGCAACACACCAAATGCGACAACCAACAAGATACCAAGCGAAGTGATGTTCAACAGAACCATAAGAACCACATGGGATTTAATAAAACCGCAAGAAGATAAAGTGAACGAATTTAATCGCAATTTATCTCAAATAGAAACATCATGAGTGGTGACAAAATATGGTATAAAACCTTCAAGGGTAATATGTGGAACAAAGGCACGATAAAATGTAAAAATGGGAATTTAACATTTGAAGTTGAAACAGGAGACAAAATTATTAGAAGACATTTAGACCAAATTAAAAAAAGGTCTACGAGTAGCGCACCTCTTGATGAAACGACACATGTGAAAACAAATGCAATACCTTTTACTGTAAGTTTTAAAAGAAATGATGATCCAAATTTAGGAGTACAAGAACAGAGTCTTGCTATTTAAAGACCTAGCAGGAATATAATTTTGCCCAGAAAATTCAATAATTTTAATGAAATAAAGACTAAAATAATATATATATATAATAAAATATTTTTCTTTTAAATAAACTTTCAATAGCAAAAGTTAATGATGACAATAAAACTATCAAGAAACGTTGACTACACGATAAGATTCACATGCAAGAAAAACCTGAGTGGAGATCATTTTTTTAAAGGGTGGAATGTTGATATGATCGATTAACACTAACCTTTAAATTGTTTTTTTTTATGTTTATATAAATTGTGTAGATTGATTTTTTTTTTATATATTAATATGAAAATTGTTATATAAGCCTGATTTTTAGTTTGATAAAGAAAATGTAAAATTTTAAAAAATATATATATAATTAAATTATTAATTTAAAATAAAATAAATAATCTCGTAACAATCATTTATTTTAGAAAACTTTACATTTTAAATTTTACAATCAGTTTAAATAATTCATAAATCAAAGAGATAAAGCACTGATGTTATTATAGTTGATCTAAAACTACATGAATCACAACACATCCTATTGAAACATTTTATAATTCACAATATCAAAAACACACATCAGCTTATCTTTTTTTTGGTATTACTTTTCCTCTAAAAATTAATTTTTCTCGAATTAATTTCGAAAATATCTTTCACTCATAGGCGTAGCCAGGGGGTAGGGGGCAAGGGAAACCCCTTCCTTCAGAAATTTATCACTTTTTGTGAATATCATTTTAGGCTGATAAAAAATACCCCCCTTAATTCTCCACCCACTCCCTGACCCCCAAAAATGTATGCATATATCTTAAACAATAATTTGAAAGAAATAATGTAAAAGTTAATATTTTTTTATTTATACATTTTTGGAAAAAAGCATTTATATATAAAAAAAGTGAACTAAAAATGCTTTTTAAGAAATGAAATATAAGCCAAAAATAAGTTTTAAGACAAAAGGGAAAAGATCCATAAAGTTACTAAATAATATAATATATCAAAAATAACTTTTTATAAATTTTAATTTATTTATCTTAATAAAAGTAAAATATAATTATAAAACTATTGATAAAATTAAATCATAAATTAAATAAAAAATTAAAGCACAATACAAACAGTGGAATATTATATGTCGTAGATTTACAGTATATTTAATTTTATCAATTATCATATGACAATCAAGTAATTTTTACCAATATAGCGAATTATATATTTTACAGAAAACTATAAAATATTGATAAGGACATCAGGAAATATCTTTTAAGGACATTGTGGGATGAATAATATGAAGATTAATATTTAATATCATTTTTTATTTAAAATAAATAGATGGCGATAAATAATTGAATGCAAATTGTTGCTTTATTTATTATCAAGAGCATTGATTAGTTAAATTTGTTAAAATATTAACTATAATATATTCTCTAACTGTCAAATATGTCGATAAAAATGGAATTTTACCTATTATTTTGTAATAATTGAGGAATATCAACTATATGTCTACTTACTTTTTATAAATACATTTCTAAAACTTGTTTGGAATAAATTATTACCATGCTTTTATATTAATGTATATACAAGTAATTTATTATATTTTATATAAACTAATAAAAATACATTTCAAATTTGTTCCAGGCTTATTTTTATTTAGTAAAATTAACCTCCTATCTTGTAAAAAATTTTATGACTATATATTAGGCCTATTCAAAAAAAATTCGAATATTCGATTCGAATAATTCGAATAGATACGAATAATTACGAATACGAATAATAAATTATTTGTTTTATCCGAATACGAATAATCATTTATTCGATTCGAATAAAACGAATTATTCGTAATATTTAATAAATTGCTTTTTTTAAAAATAATCTAACATTTGTCATTTCTATTTGACAACCTGCCAATCTGACAGATGATGTGTTTATAAAAAGACTAGCAAAAATTTTAATTTTAATTTCCCGTATTTTTTCAAAATTAATTATATTAAAAATTACACAAACCAAAAGTATATAAAAATATATACAAACCAAAGGTATATAAAAATATATTAATCTTTATAATAAAATATTGTTAGCTAGCCTAATTATGTTAGAGGAGAATGATTTTGATGAAATAGTTATTGACAAAATTTCTTAACAAAAAAGAGCGATTATATGGGATCAATATCAACTCAATGGTGAAAAGGCTGCTTGCAATCATTGCAAGAGCATTATTAAATGCAAAGGCAAAACAACATCGCCTCTTATTAATCATTATAATAGGTTTCATTCACATCTCCGTAACAATAATAAAATTGACACTTTTTTAAAGCCTATATCACCTTTTTCTTTATCTAAAAAAATTAATTATAAAGATAACTTACTAAAATTATTTATTAATAATAATTTATCTTTTAAAATTGTTAATTCACCTGATTTTAAAAATTTTATAAATGATCTTGATTCTTCTATAAAATCAATAAGCTCCAATACTCTTAAATTGCATATGTATAATACATTTACAGAAAAAGAACAGTTGGTAAAGGATATAATATCCAAAAATAAAAGTCAGATTAATTTTTCATCTGATATTTGGACTAGCCCAACTCAGGTTCCTTTTTTAGGGTTAACAGCCCATTTTATTGATGATAATTTTAAAATAAATAACATAATTTTGGATGTTGTTCCAATAAATGAACAACATTCAGGTGAAAACATATTTAAAGCCTTTATTAAAATAATTAAAAATTATAATTTGGAGAATAAAATTTTTTATATAACTCTAGATAATGCTACTAATAATAAAACATTTATTGATACATTTTCTTTAAAATATCCATCAATAAAAATAGGGCACATTCGATGCTTTGCTTATGTTATTAATTTAATATCCAAAGAAATTTTAAAAATTTTAAATCCATCAATTTATAAAACTACGAAACATTATTAGGATGATACGTAATTCTCCTAAAAAATTAAATTTATTAAAAAATATATGTAGTTCACTACATCCTCCTATAAATTTTTTAAAACCCAAATTGGATTGTGAAATAAGGTGGAATAGCACCTACCAAATGATTGAAAGGGGCTTATTGTTAAAGCCTGCTATAAAAAAATTAGTTAATGAAGTTATAACTAATATTATAATTCTTCAAGAAAAACAATTATCAGAGGTAAACTAAAATTTATAAATAGGTAAATAATACTTTATTAACATAACATACAGGAGGAATGGGACGATCTTGTAAAAATTAAATCTATCCTATTGCCTTTGTATGAGACTACAAATATGGTTTGTGGGGAAAATTATCCTACTTATAATTTGGTTATACCCTATTATATTCTAATTCTTGAACACTTAAAAAATGAGAAACCTTGTTTCCATAAAACCTCTAACAATGATTTCAAAGTGGCATGTGATAAATTGTTGGGCTATTACAATTTAACTGCAGATGATGCAATAATAGCTACAATATTGGATCCCAAGCTCAAAATAGAATATTTTAAATCAATATCTCATGATTATAATATTGATATTGATATATCCAGGTTAACAGACAAGTTTAAAGAGATTTACAGCAGATATACAGGTATTTAATTTACCCCTATTTAAATACATATCATTTTATTTTATAAGCTGCTGATAATTACAACTGCCTAAATAAGAATGAAAGTCAACAAAACAGGCTTGACATAGTTTTTAAACAAAATTATGTTCAACTATGTGAAATCAATTTTTACCTGAGTGAACCAAGATCAAAGAGTAATACTGATCCATTAATGTGGTGGAAGACAAATGCACATAGGATCCCCATACTCTCAAAAATGGCAAGAGATTATTTATCTATACAAGGAACATCAACTGCGTGTGAAAGACTTTTCTCAGTTGGCACTAATTTGTTGTCAAAAAACCGCATGTCGTATAAAGAAGAAAATATAAGAAAAACCCTTTGCCTTAAAAATTGGCTTTAAATTATAAATTAAATGAATAATATAATATTTTAATTTTGTTTATAACTTGATTATATTTATTTGTCATCGGATTATTATAATTTTTTCTGTTTGAAATCAAATTTGCAATAAAAAAATATGTCAGTATATTTGAGATTGATTTATTTTATTAAGAAAATTCATTTCAATTATTCGAAAATTATTCGAATAATTCGAATCGAATACTAATAGTAGATTTTATTATTCGTACGAATTTAAATAGTAAATTATTCGATTCGTTTAAAAGAATCTAATATGAATAATGCACTATTCGATTCGAATACGTTTTTGAATAGGCCTACTATATATAGACTAAGGTAATCTTCCCGAAGGCCGGGCAAAATCGGGGTCCAAATGGGGTCTGGGTGCAAAGCTCCAGTATTTTTTAATTCCCCTTCCCCCCCCCCCTTAGGAAAATCCTGGCTACGCCTATGCTTTCACTTGTCATATAAAGTAATTGAATATATATTCAATTTATGAGTGTGGTTTCTCTCCTTAACTTCTTTTTAATCATCCCTCAGATGTTAAATAATAATTCTAGGATAATAACATATACCAGTGCATGTGGCTAGCTCACGAAAATTAAGCTCCTAACCCTCACCCCCCTCCCCATTTAATATCCAGTTTGGTAGATTAATCGCTATGTCGTATCCGCAAATAAAAGGCGAAACGGTTTTATCACGTATCCTTTTTGAAATGGTAGGTCTTACACTGATCATTGTCTTCGGTACGTCATGCCATCGGTAAAATACTTCATGTCATGGGTACTTATTTATTTATTTTTATTTAAAAATTTCTAAAAATAAAAATAATTACGTTATTCAAAAATATCAATTCAAATACTTAATAAAATTCGATTAAGGTAAATATATTTTATATATTACTTTTTCAGAGGGTGCTTCATAATTAACTAATTTGTATCAGCTTGTGCCGAAATATTTTAATAAAAAAATAATATTTTATCATGTCTTTTGCATACACAGTATTTTTTGGAATCATTTTATTCTAAATTCATCTCAAAAGTAAATTCAATTGTATATATGTGATTTTCAGTTTTCCAACCTATTCTAATAAAGTGTGCAGTTTTTCCTCAAATCATTCTATCCAAAATTTAACTCAACACTATTCAAGTAAATTTAATTCTAATGGGTCACATAAAATTTTAATTATTGTGCAGATTTAAAGTAAAATATAATGTTCAAGTAAAATTAGAACTAATTGGCTACATGTGAAATTTTAATTGCAGTGTTGTGCAGATTTGAAGTAAATTATATTTATGTATTTTAGATATCAATTAGAAAAACACCTGGAGGTTCAGTGCACTTTTATTATATTTTGAATATTTGTTTTGTTTTTATATTAGTTAAAAGGCCCTGTCTTCAGGGGCGTCGCTAGCCTTGTAAATCTCAGGGGGCTCAACTAAAATAAATATTAGGGGGGTAAAGCCCCCCTTACTTATACTCCCTATATTGCAGGCCTTCGGCCGGGTTTTATATTAATATATTATACTTTTTTAAAATTTGCTAACTCTGACCATCTATTCTGAATTTCATAATTTGTCATTTATTATAATATGCATACAAAATAAACTAGCATATAAATAATTAAAACAATACATGACATTTCTAAAAATAATTTTTTTTAATATAAAATCTACTAATTACAGTATCAAATATTTTCAATTACTGATATAAAAAAATTTTGCTTTTAAAGAATTACAAGTAATAAAAAAGATTTATTAATTCATATGCTTCAACTGATAATAGTTTTTAAAAACCACATAATGCAATAATATAATTCTTAGCAACTTACATTGACAAAAGGTTATCAAACTAATATAACTCTCTGTTACCATTTTAGACAATGTTTTATAGAATGGACTAATAAGGAAAAATTTATAGGCCTTAACCAAATCAACAATTTTCGAAGAAAAGAGTATAAACGACCAATCCAAATCATAAAACTATATGGTGGTTAGAGCTTCCTTTTAGATGACATGATGGAAGCTAGATAATTAATCGAAAATTCTTGTGAGATATTAAATTTCTAAATATCTTCCATTAAATGATATATAAACGACTATATATTGACCATTATTGTTTATCTAAAATATGCTATCATATGGTCTCAGCGACTGTAATAATAATCTTAAATTACATAGCAACACAAATAAACTAATATCAGAATTTATTATGTTGGATAAATTGATAAAATAAAAACACTAAAAATCTTTGGAAGAAATAGTTATGCAAATAAAATAAAGACCAGAATAATATGATGAAACAATTAAGATTTTATATATTGTCGCACCACCTCTAGTTGGTTTATTATATATATATATCTTAAAATAATAGTAGTTTGTAATAATATCAAAAATATACCTGTATTAAAAATTTAAATCAAAACTGTTTTTCGAAAAGAAAAAAATAGCTTTCCTAAAAACACGTAAAAAAAGAGAAGAAAAGATATCAAAATTACATCAATTGTAAGATGAATAATAAAATGTTTAATTTTTAAAATTATTTATAACTAAATAGATGGCGTTAAATCAGTAGCGTACGCAGGAATTTGGTGTGGGGGGGAGGGGGGATAATTAAAATTTTTTAAAATAAAATTATTGTTATTTAAAAATATCAAGCATAAATTTATTAGGACTAATAACTATTTCTAATATACAAATTTAAATTAATATGAATCATAAAAAAATAAATATATAAACCGGTATATAAAAATAAATTTGATTTAAAATATATTAAACGGATATAAACGGCGGCATATAAATACTTTAAATAAATCTGAATTATAAAATATTAAATGGATATAACCAGCATATGATGACTATAAAATAAATAATCCATAATAGAAATTTAAATTTTTTTGAGCCTTTAAAGTTTATATATAAAGTATAAAAAATCTAAATGTTGGAAATATGAATAATTATATTTTTTATGTAAAAGAAAAATATGTAAGAGATTAAAAAATGATAGCACAAAAAATATTATAGAAACATTATATTTTTATAATGTAAAATCCAATCTTCGTTGGGAGTGAGCTAATTTTTTAATTATCTCATCCGTGTTTGGCGTCAAATGCCTATGAATATTCAAAAGGGCCAGACCATTCAACCTACTTTCAGAAGTTGTACTTCTTAGGTACGTTTTTAATCTTCTTAAAGAAGAGAATGTTTTCTCATTAGTTACAGTACTAATGGGAAGAGTTGCTAATATATATAATAATTTCAATATATTGGGGAAATAACCTAAAAAATGTTTGAAATGATGCAAAGCATCCATAGCATTTTTTGGGACTATATCAACCATAGTTAATCTTTTATACCATAGTTGGCATTCAGCAAATAAAGCATCATGAGATACATTAATGTCTTCATGATAAAAATCTTTCAAATATTTTATTTTTTTTCTATCACCATCTGAAAAAGGTTCAGAGGGCTTTTGCGGAAGTAATATCTGCAGATTGTTAAGTGTTTCTTGATAAATTAAAAACCTTTCATTTACTTGGGTTATAAATGTATCCAAAAGAGGTATAAAGACATTTATTTTACAATATTCTTCTATTGACCCTATATTAATATATGGACGATAAGTTTGCCTTCAAGTCGAGGGAGACAAATATTGAACTCGTATAGCTCTGCTTTTGATTCAACATTAACATATAAAATATGAAATTCCTCATCAGCATTAGCTCTATCTTTGAGTTCTAATAAAATTGTCTCTGCTATTCTCATCACTCAATCAAATCAATATCATGTTTTTGAAAAGCATTACATAAAATAGTTGTATAATTAAATAATTTATTAATACATTCTAATGCGAAAAAAAAATTTGGTATAAGTATTGAATCCAGTAACTTGCTTGCTTCTGAAGAAATATCTCTTTCAGACCATTGTGATATTTCTGTAAGAGCATTAATAATCGGCTCTTCTAACTCGATAAAAGCTGTTACTGCTTGATGTCGAAGACTCCATCTTGTTGGACAAGCTTTTTGCAATTTTTTTCTCCTTGTTGGGCAAGGAGTTTCAGATATAATTCTGTTCAAAATATTTTGACGCTTGGGGTATCTAAACATCTCATAGATGCTAGATATTTTACCTGATATAAATATAAAAAATTTAATTTTAATAATTAAAAACCTAAGCAATTTGATATCAATGGTAAAGAACATGAATCCGATATTGCTAAGTTGAATGAATGGGCAGCACAGTGGACATATATAGCTGTTGGGCATTTTTTTTTATAAAATGCCTGAAGCCCATTGAATTGTCCACTCATTGCACGTGCTCCATCATACCCTTGCCCACGTATCATATTTATATTTAGCTATATTTTTGAAAATAATTATATAATAAGATTAATTATTACTTTTAATTTTTTAAACATTTCCTTGATAATGTTTTATGAGTATCTACATATCGCGCACACAACGACATCTGCTCAATGCCAGCAATGTCCGTGGTCTCATCTGCTAAAATTGAGAAGCATGGGGCAGAACTGATTTCAACAATCAATTTTTCTAAAATGATATTGTTGCAAATATCAATTATCTCATTTTGTATCCTAGGGCTGAGATAAGTAACATTTTTATTGGTACTAATGAGGCTCTCCATTAATACAGGATCTCCTAATGCTTTAAATTTTAAAAGTCCACGAAAATTACCTTCGTTATCATTATTATTAAAATTTAAGCTTCCTGAATCCTTGTGGCCACGAAGTGCTAGGCCTTGCAAGCCACAATATAAAATAGCCTCAATAGTTAGTTTTATCTTGCCTCTATTTTCTTTTGCAATTTTAACCCTATTTTTATCAATTATTGCTGAAATGGGAATCATATCCCCTTTTTGAATTGATTCTTTTGAGGAAATCATCAGTTCACAGCTTTTGTGATAATTTATTTTCTGATGATTTTCAAAAATCTCCCCCGCATCTTTGTATTTATTGAAAGGAGTCTTAACAAGAGTGTTAAGCTTAACTAGATTTATGCCAACATATCGTGGTCCAAACAGGACACATATTTTGCAATATGCTCCACTGTCTCGGATGGAGTATGCTAGCAATAACCACCTTGTAAAATAGCTATTTTGAAATTTTTACTTTCGATTAGCACATAAAGTTTTGGGAAATTGAAAATTAAGGGATGGAATATAAATCTATTATTAAATAAAATATTTATCATAGGTATCTTTAATATATACCTTTTTAAGAAGTATATGTCTTTCTTCTAGGCTAATATTATCTTTATCTAAAAAATTGGCTATATCATATGGATGATCATTGTACTCTAGTTATTAAATTAAAATTATTTTTAAAAAAATTATTGCTGCACATTGTTGCAATCTCATTCTTTTGCTAAATTAAATACCTAAAATTCTTATTTTACTATCCCATCCTTACTATTACAAGGTTCTTCAAAATAATCTTATGATGAATCTTAAAAAATTCAGTTATAATTTGAAAATTATAATACCGGGAAATTTAAAAATAATAGATAAATATTACGCCACAAAAACTTGAAAATGAAATTAATTGATAAAGTAAATTAGAAAATGAAAAAGGTAATAATATAAAAATTAAAAAAGAAATAGATATGAATAAATATAATAAAATATAAAAAATAATATTTTTGAAAAATATGTCCGGCATCTGCATTTTGGCTTTGGGGGGATTTGTCCCCCCCCCCCTACTGTGTACGCCAATGCGTTAAATACTTAAATGCAAATTGTTATTATATTTATTATCAAAAGCATTTAATAGTATAATTCATTATAATATTAACTGTAATATATTATATAACTGACAAATATGTCTATAAAAGTGGCATTTTATTTAATATTTTATAAACAACTGTATATAATAAAGGATTATAAACTATATGTCTAATTACTTACTTTTTATGATAATAAAATTTAAAAATAAATATATAGTTGATTAGTCATTTTGAACTCGGCTAATTACAATATTAAATTTTTTAATTTTCAATTAATAAATGATTATATTTATTTAATTAGGGTTATATAATAATTTAAACTAGTAGAAAGCCCGTCAAAAATGACGGGGAATGAGATTTTTATTCATTTTTTACGATAGATGTCATACCAGGTTCAAGCTCACAATATTAGGAAGCATCCAAGATCCTATAATTTTAAAAAGGCAAGCCCAGCTTAACCCTTAATAATTCGTGAAAGATATTCCCAAGTCAGCAAGCTAATATTAATTTTGAGGTTTCAAGCCTGGTCCTACCCATTATTAAAAATTTTTTCCCGCCTCGGAGATAGTTAAATTTTTAATATCATCACATGAACGGGAAATATCTGATTTACCAATTAGTCTAATATGGAAAGAAAACATGTAAATTCCGTATTAAGGCAAAGTGTGAAGGCCTGGGCAACCACTTATTAGAGAATCAAGACAAATAAAATAAAAATAACCGAATCTTATACTTTTTTGTAATATGATCAACTACAATTATATCTAAAAAATATGTTGTTTATTATATAGGGTTATTGTTGTTTTTCAGATAAATTTAATGCATGTCTTGCATTTCTGAAATTATTTGTCAAAGAATTTGATAAGGGATATATATTTTTTTATGTTAAGTAAAAAAAAAATGCTGTCTATTTAAATTACAAAAATGCCATTAAACACTACTGAAACTTATATGCAAATTATTTATATATTTTTTAAGATATTTTTTTTTATTGACATATAAATTTAGGATAATTTTTTAAAAAAATAATGAGGATTATTTATTATGTATTTGATAAAATAAGAGCAAATCCTTGTTGACATTTTAATTTTTGATGGAAAAAGCGACAAAATAAATTTGGGCAGTCGTCTGGAGAGGAAATAATTAATGTATAATTTTATATCATTTAGGGTTGTAGATGAAAGTGATGACGGATTAACAAAGCAGTGTACAAAACACATTACGTCCTGATAAAGATGATATGCCTATGCCTTGGGATACTGGTAAGAACGCAAAACGATATTTCTGTCAATGTCAGCATTGGTATCCCCCTCTAAAATAGAATCATGAACGACAATGTTAACTCAACCATAAAACGGTCGTAAGTATTGTTATAAAGGACACGACAGAACTACTGCATATATTTCGATTAATAAAGTTGATGAAATTGGTCGTACTGTACATTCAAGTTTGAACACGCAAAACGATATTTCTGTCAATGTTAGCATTGGTATCCCCCTCTAAAATAGAATCATGAACGACAATGTTAACTCAACCATAAAACGGTCGTAAGTATTGTTTTAAAGGCCACGACAGAACTACTGCATATTTTTCCATTAATAAAGTTGATGAAATTGGCCGTACTGTACATTCAAGTTTGAACATTCCTCTAAATATTCATTAAAGTTTTTCAGAGAATCGGATAAAGTAATATTTATATTAACTCCTAGTGAAGTGAATGATAGGAATTAAATGTTTAAATTTGTTAAAAAATAGGCTGAGGAATAGGGATTGTGATAGTGGTGATAATATAATTTTGAGAACTGGGTGAAAATAAAATAAAAATAGATAAAAAAACAAAATAAACCTCCAGATGAGTTCATTTCAAGCGTAGTTCTTTATTATTTTGTCTACCAGTAACTATAGAACGGGTAAGGCGTTTGTTTAATCGTCATTATTTTCTTTGCTTATTTAATAGCATGTTTTGTAGCAATGTGAGGGATTAGGGTTAGCCTAGACAAATAAAGAAATCAGGCAAAAATATAAATAAACTATTGTTGAAATTAAACAAACATTAAAATAATGTAAAACCAGTAGATGGGTCAATATTAGATGCATATTTCTAGTAGTTGGAGGGCTATCATCAAAAAAAATTTTGGGGGGACTTATCAAGCCTATTATGATATTATAAAAATTAAAAAATAACATGATGAATATAATGTTATTAAGATTAAGGTTAATTAATTGTAAGGTAATTAAAAAATAAGATTAAAAAGGGGGGGGGATGAAGGCTAAAATTATTATATTATAAAAATTAAATTAAAGGAATTGATAAGGTTTGGCTATCATCAAAAAAAATTTTTGAGGGACTTATCAAGCCTATTATGATATTCTAAAAGTTAAAAAATAACATGATGAATGTAATGTTGTTAAGATTAAGGTTAATTAATTTTAAGGTAATTAAAAAATAAGATTAAAAAAGGGTAGGGGAAAGAAGGTATAAATTTATTATATTATAAAAATTAAATTAAAGGAATTGATAAGGTTTTGAGAAATAGTGGTTAATAGATAATAGAGATAGAAAGAAAAGAATGAGATAATAAAATTTCGTGATAAATAAATTCATTAAGGGAGGGGAAAAAATAAAGAAAGAGTTATTTATAAGGATTGGAGATTATAAATAGGTTAGAATAAGAATATTTAAATATACTTGGTTATCTTTTTAATTATTTGTTATGAAAGAAAAATGTGAGTATAAAAAATTGTAATGTAAATACTGACAAAAATTGTGAATATGTTCAAAATAAATTTACAAGTTGAGTATCTTGTAGAGATATCATTAATGTGTAATTGATAATATGAGATGAAAATTGATAAGGTAGTCTAAAAAATAAAGAAAGGATTAAGTGAAATAAAAAGTTTCATTCATATTTACAAAGTTGAGGGAATATTGTTTTTATCAATTCAAAAACGATTTTTCAAATCTCTCAATCCATGTTAGGTATGTGTACACCATCAATTCTCGAAATTCCATTCATCTGTTTGTATAAAATAAATAAATAAAATCAACAAATAAAAAAAATAAAAATAAATACATACCGATGACATGACGTAGCGATGACATGACGTAGCGATGACATGACGTCACGATGACGTAGTTAGGACATCGGAAAATTATAATATAGATAATAATAGTCAATTAAGCTTCAACTGTTAATGCTAAATTAATATTTAGTGAGTGATATTGATATTCTATTTTTAACACAAAATTTGATTGCAAGCTGACATACTGAAAATATAAGTTAAATTATATGTATTAATCTAATCTAATAAAATAGTATTCAATTAATAAATATGTAGATAGTCTTATTAATTTTTAAATAATAAAATTAAACTATATATTACTTAATAGATTTACAAAAGAAATCGTTCAGGGAGCAATATAAAAAATTTCTTTTTAGTTCAAGGGGTTAAGATTCCATTTTAAAAAAATTTTGCTTCAGGGGGGCTATTCAAATTTTTCAGGGGGGCTGAGTGACGCCACTGCCTGTCTTAACTTCTCTCAATGATTGTACTGATGCTGAATTATATATCATTAATAAAAGGAAAAGATGGCAAGTAATCAACAAAATAAACATTCCAGAGATCGTGAAACCCAATTAAATCTACATAAAGTTAGTCATCTATATATATATTCTAAAAAAGAATAATTGTTCTTCTTATACTTACTTATATTTTAGAGTACATCTATTTTAGCTATTAATGATATTCCTACTATTTCTTGAGAGTTGTAGTACCCAATATTGACTCCTCTGCGTGACTTCTCTTTTTTTTTCCTTCTCATTTTTATCATCTTCTTTTTCCTTTTCTTTCCCGATTCGCTTTATATTTCCCTACATCTTTTCTATTTCCTTTTCTCTTTTCTTTCCCTTATCCTCTTTCTTTCCCTTATCCTTTTTATTTACCTTATTCTTTTTCTTTCCCTTATCCTTTTTCTTTCCCTTATCCTTTTTTTTTCCCTTTTTCATTTTTTCTTCCCCCAATTCCCTTTACTTTCCTTTTCCTATTCCTTCTCTTTTCCGTTCCTCTTTTCTTTACTGTTTTCTTTCCCTTTTCCTTATTCTTTTTTACCTATTGCTCTTCTCATTTTCTTTCCCCTTTTCATTACATTATAATTCCTTTATGTTTTTCTTCTTCCACTTTCCTCTTTCTTTTCCTTGTTATTTCTCTTTTTCTTTTCCTTCTCCTTTCGATTTCCCTTTTTCTCTTACTTTCCCATTTTCTTTTCGATTGTCTTTTTCTTTCCCTTTCTCTTATCTTTACCTTTTCATTACCCTTTTCCTTTTTAATTTATTTTCCATATTCCTTTTTCTTCCTCTTTTCCTTCCTCTTTTCCTTCCTTTCCCTTTTAATTTCTCTTATTATTACCTTCGCTTTTCTTCCTTTTTACTTTCCCTTTCATTACCCTTTTTCTTTTCCTTCCTTTCTTCTCTTCCCTTTTTAATTTCCTTTCGGTTAAATCTGTTGATATGTAATTGACAGATATAGATGTTTTTCAATTGATTTCTAATAAGAGATTGATAACATTTTGTATTCTTTTGCTTTAGATCATGTGTATTATTAGATGAAATAAAAGGGAAATTATTCTTTGGGAACGTATTTTAGAATATATATATATTTATATATACTTTATTTTTTATTATTAAGGTATAAGATATTTTCCATATTCTTTTTCGTTCTCTTTCCTTTCCTTTTAATATCTCTTATTACCTTCCCCTTTCTTCTTTTTCTTTTCCCTTCACCTTTCTCCTTTCTTTTCTTTTCTTTTCTTTCCATTTTATTTCTTATATTACCTTCGCCTTTCTTCTCTTTTTCTTTTTCTTTTTCTTTCATTTTTCCTTTCATTACCATTTTTCTTTTCAACCTTCCCTTTTCATTCTTCCTTTTTCAATTTCCTTTCCTTTCCTTTTTTTTCCTTTTTTTTTATTTCTCTTATTACCTTACTCTTTTTTCTCTTTTCCCTTCCCCTTTTCTCTTTTTCCCTTCCCTTTTTATATTTTTTTCCCTTTTCTTTTTCTTTTTCTTTTTCTTTTTCTTTTTCTTTGCCTTTTAATTTTCTATTTACCTTTTCATATTTCTTTCACTTTTCCTTTCGCTTCTCTCTTTCCCTCTTCTTTTCCTTTTTCCTTCCATTCTCCTTTTTCCTTCCATTCTCCTTTTTCCTTCCATTCTCCTTTTTCCTTCCATTCTCCTTTTTCCTTCCATTCTCCTTTTTCCTTCCATTCTACTTTTTCCTTCCATTCTCCTTTTTCCTTCCATTCTCCTTTTTCCTTCCATTCTCCTTTTTCCTTCCATTCGCCTTTTTTTCCTTGCCCTTAAAAATTATAAATCTCGCTTATATCTTCTAAAAATTCTAAAGGTAATATTGAAAATAATATTAATAGATGCTTATAATATTAATAGATGCTTATTCAAATGAGTATTTATTTCCCTCATTTTTAGTGATTTATTGAAAAATTTAAATACAGGAGTTTACTTCATTAGCATCTATTAATATTAATTTCAGATTAAGTTAAAATATTTTCTAGGAGTTATATAAGAAAGATTCCTAGCTATTTTTATTTTAGCAATAAATGAAACTCTCTGCCCTTCTTTTCTTTCGCTTTTCCATGCCTTTTTTCTTTCCCTCCTTTCCTCTTTTCTTTCTATTTCATATTTTCTTTCACTTACATTATTTCTTTCTCTTTCTCTTTCTACTTTTACTTTCTCTTTCTACTTTTACTTTCTCTTTCTACTTTTACTTTCTCTTTCTCTTTCTACTTTTACTTTCTCTTTCTACTTTTACTTTCTCTTTCTACTTTTACTTTCTCTTTCTACTTTTACTTTCTCTTTCTACTTTTACTTTCTCTTTCTACTTTTACTTTCTCTTTCTACTTTTACTTTCTCTTTCTACTTTTACTTTCTCTTTCTACTTTTACTTTCTCTTTCTACTTTTACTTTCTCTTTCTACTTTTACTTTCTCTTTCTACTTTTACTTTCTCTTTCTACTTTTACTTTCTCTTTCTACTTTTACTTTCTCTTTCTACTTTTACTTTCTCTTTCTACTTTTCCTTTCTCTTTCACTTACCTTCCCTTTCTCTCTTCCCCTTCCTTTACATTTTCTTTGCTTTCTCATTTTCCCCTCTTTTCCTTTTCTTTTACCTTTCTTCCCTTCTCCTTTCCTTCCTTTTCTCTTACCCTTTTTTCCGTACCATTTTTCTTTTCATGCCTTTCCTCATATACATAGTACTTTATTTTTATTATTTATTATTTCAATAAAATTATATATTTATTCTTAAGGATCCTGCCTTTTTAAAACTTGCCATTTCATCGCATTTACCATAATTCCCTTTTATTCTTACTGCTTATTTTGTATTACTCGGAAAATAAAACGATACGTGGTTCATTAAATTATTTGACCAAATATATATGATATTTTAATATTTAAATATTCTACATCTATTCACAAGGTCCTAACTTTTTTTAAAGTTTTCCAATTCGTCTCCCGAACAATATTCCTTTTTATCCGTGCTGATTATTTTGTACAATTCCCTAAAAAACTAATGCTTCGTCATTTTATTAAAATCAGATCGAGATAGCATTATATTTTTAAAAATTAAATTAAATTACATATATTATGATTAACTTTTTTAAGCTGACGATTTCGTCGCTCCTAAAATTATTCCCCTTCATTCCTACTGATAAGCCCCATACCTATATTATATTTTTTATTTAAAATCTGATATTTCATGATTTGTGATCCATCGCCATTTGTTACAAACTACTATTTGTGATCCATGGAATTCCTGATTCCGCGCCATTTGTTAGTACCAGGTTACATCTCCCCCGGCGGAAGACTAGAGTAGTGCGTAGTCCTACTCCTAGTTTTATTAATAATATAAATTTTTAGCCACATATACCAAAAAAGTTAAAAAGTATTGATCACGATTTTTTATATTGGTTGTTGATTATCAAAAATTATCCTGCAGTTCTTTTGTATCAATATTACTTGCAATCATATAAGATCCTGTGTGTAGATATTTTGATGGAATTTTTGTTATATTTATTAATATATATATTTTTTTCTTTGTACACAATTTTTACTTTTATTAAATTATCACCAATTAACCCAATAAAATTTATAACTTTTCATAAACAAAACTATACCATTATTTATTTATTTAAACAAATAATTACTCTTGTATTAATTATCTTCAACCATTTTTTTTTAAATTTCTCTCTTACTGAATAATTTATTTAATCAAACATTACCAGCTGCTTTCATCATGAAATTTTTTTTTAATTCCTTAATTATCCCAAATTCTTATTTCCCCTTTCTTTTACTATTTCTTGGTTTACTTATCTACTCCCTAACTAATTACTTTTCTTTTAAACACAAAATTTATTCCTCATTTTATCGATTTTCCATAATTAATTGCTTTTACTCACAATATATTTCTTAACCTCTTTTCTTATTAAACAAATTATATTCTAATTTTTATCTTAAAAACAAATTCTACTACAATTTACACCAATCCAACATTCTATAATTAATTACTTTCACTTTTCCTCAAAGCGCAAGATTTTATTTTTTAATTTTACTTAATTTTAAAAAATATTATACATCACAACCAGGGTTGCTAGGTCAAAATTTTCAAATTGCGGGAGAAATTTAGTATTTTGCGGAAGAAATATGAAAATTGCCGTAGAAATAATAAAAAAAAATTTTTTTACAAGCCAATTGACTTAATTATCCGTCTATTCATAGGCGTAGCCAGGGGGGGGGCAAGGGAAAATCCCCCCTTCAGAAATTTATCACTTTTTGTGAATATCATTTTAAGCTAATAAAAAATATCCCCCTTAGTTCTCCCCCACTCCCTGACCGCCTAAAATGTATGCATATATCTTAACAATAATTTGAAAGAAAGAATGTTAAAGTTGAAATTTTTTTAAACTAAAACTATTCATCATAATTCATACATTTTTGGAAAAAAGCATTTATATATAAAAAGTGAACCAAAAGTGTTTTTAAAGAAATGGAATATAAGCCAAAGATAAGTCTTAAGACAAAAATGAAATATATTATAATTATTATAATAGATCCATAAAATTACTAAATAATATAATATATTATAATTTTTTATAAAGTGAGTAATTTTAATTTATTTATCTTAATAAAAGTAAAATATATTTACAAAACTATTGATAAAATCAATCAAAAATTAAATAAAAAAATTAAAACACAATACAAACAAATATTATATGTCGTAGATTTACAGTATATCTAATTTTATCAATTATCATATGACAATTTACCAATATAGCGAATTATATACAGAAAACTATAAAATATTAAAAAGGACATCAGAAAATATCTTTTTATTTAAAGTAAATAGAAGGCGTTAAATAATTGAATGCAAATTGTTGCTATATTTATTATCAAGAGCATTGATTAGTAAAATGTTAAAATATTAACTGTAATATATTCTCTAACTGTAAAATATGTATGTAAAAGTGGAATTTTACCTAGTATTTTGTAACCAATTCTATATAATAGAGGAATATCAACTATATGTCTACTTACTTTTTATAAATAAATTTCTTATTTGTTTGGAATAAATTATTACCATGCTTTTATATTAATGGATCTACAAGTAATTTATTATATTTTATATAAACTAATAAAAATATATTTCATATCTGTTCCAGGCTTATTTTTATCAAAATTAACCTCCTATCTTGTAAAAGTATTTTATGACTAAATATCAGAGTTGTTAAAAGATACTTTTTAAATGGATCTAGATACAGATACAGATACCACATTTTTATATCTAGATCCTTTAACAACTCTGCTAAATATAGACTAAGGTAACCCGGCCGAAGGCCCGCCCAAAATGGAGCCCCCAGAAATTTATCAATACCCCCCCCCCCTTAGGAAAATTTTGGCTACGCCTATGTGCCTATTATTTTTTATAATTAGTTTATATAAATGCTAAGTCAGGAAATATTTTTCAAAATAAAATAACATCTTGATTTATTAAAATATATTAATTTATAAAAAAAACCAAGGATCTTTTTTAAATATAAAAGAATGTAAAGATAAAATTTTATAAAAAAAACAAACGATTTTAATTTTACAATATTTTCTGCGAATATCCCGCAAGACCGTAATTTGAAATCTACCGTGTGTGTGTGTATAACATTATAGGAATAGGCGCCTAATTATCACGTATCAAGTTTAAATACATAATAAGATATTGTACTCATTTTAATGATAATTATTTTATTTATTATAGTTCAATCACATTATTATAATCAGTGCAGGGGAGTGTATCTACACTCATTGGAAAACAAAAATATTCTCCATAAATAAGAAATAATACAGATTCAACTACAGTTGCGGCAATTGTAATCACTTATCTTGTAGCACCATAGGCGTAGCCAGAGGGGGGGGCAAGGGGAATTCCCCCCCTTCAGAAATTTATCACTTTTTGTAAATATCATTTTTAGCTAATAAAAAATATCCCCTTTAGTCCTCCCCCCACTTCCTGACCCTCAAATATGTATGCATATATCTTAAATAATAATTTAAAAGAAAGAATGTAAAAGTTGATATTTTTTTATAAAACTATTCATCATAATTTATAGATTTTTGGGAAAATAAATTTATAAATATATAAAATGAACCAAAAATGTTTTTTAATAAATGGAATATAAGCCAAAGATAAGTCTTAAGACAGAAGTGAAATGTATTATAATTATTAATAATAGATCCATAAAATTACTAAATAATATAATATATCAAATATAATTTTTTATAAAGTGAGTAATTTTAATTTATTTATCTTAATAAAAGTAAAATATATTTACAAAACTATTGATAAAATTAAATAAAAATATTAAAACACAATACAAACAAATATTATATGTCGTAGATTTACAGTATATCTAATTTTATCAATTATCATATGACAATTTACCAATATAGCGAATTATATATTTTACAGAAAACTATAAAATATTGATAAGGACATCAGAAAATATCTTTTAAAGACATTGTGGGATGAATAATATGAAGATTAAATTTAAATAACATTTTTACTTAAAATAAATAGATGGCGTTAAATAATTCAATGCAAATTGTTGCTATATTTAATATTAAGAGCATTGATTAGTAAAATTTGTTAAATTATTAACTATAATATATTCTCTAACTGTCAAATATGTCTGTAAAAGTGGAATTTTACCTAGTATAATAACTAATTCTATATAATAGAGTAAAATCAACTATATGTCTACTTACTTTTTATAAATAA